AGTTCACTTACAACAACGCATTTCATGTTACGGGCATGAGCCAATCATACCACAGCAGCCAACCAGGCCGACACATGTCCATGCCGCTCATGACTTTGTCACCACGATGTAGAAGATATGGGAGAAGACTCAACGACGTCTCACAACGAAAGCAGTATGCAGATCGACAGCGACAAGATCACTCTATAGCAGTCGGAGATCATATGTTTCTCGATACACCCAACCTGGAATTGTCTCATCATTCTTTCAAGCTCCGGCCTCGCTTCTGTGGTCGTTGAGACCATGGTGACACCCCAGTTACATTCCGCTTTCGTTTATCGAGTACGTGGAAGCTTCACAAATCTTCCCATGTTGAGCTACTGAAGCCCTACAATTGACCCCAACCAACAGTTACAGGGACAAAATCCGCCGCCACCGCCACCTATTCTTGTACATGATGAACTCGAGTACGAGGTGGAACGTGCCCTCGTTCATCGATGCAGACGCGGCAACACGCTCGAGTTCCTGATACGCTGGAAGGGATATGACCCATTGGAGGACTGTTGGGATGCAGAAGCTGATATGGGCAATGCACGCCATGCTCCCAAGGATTATCTTCTCAAACAAGGTGTCTCTCATGCCACCCAGCTTTGAGGGGGGGTCGTGTGAGAGTACGATGGCTCTGCCTTACCTTTATTATCTTCCCTTGCATTATAGTGATTATTTTCTATTTTCATTGGTTAAGTTCTTAGTTTTGTTGCTGAACTATATCTATTATAATTATTGGTACCGAACTAGTTACATGCACTGAATACTATGCGTTTCAGTTGCCACCAAGAAGCTTCTACCGTACTTGGGAAGGACCCGTTCGGGACGCTTCACGACCCTCGGAACCTTCTCGTAACATTCTGGTTACTGACCTTGTTTCGTGTCTATGTATATCCCCTTAGTTGTCCCCTTGATTCATTAATCATTTTCTAGACTCGGTCCTGTCAGAATGTTATCTTATGCTCTAGCCTGTAGTGGGGTGCTCTATAGCGAGTACAACCCTTCTAGGGTTTGCTATTTGTATCCCCATTCTTGCTAGTGCAACCCCCTTCTCTCTTCTAATTTTCACATGCTATCAGAGCAGGTCGATCCCCTTGGATCGATCCTATGGGTGGGCTTACCACCTCCTAGCTTCCGCTGCAACTCCTACCACTACACTCTGAGCCGCACGCCCCGTGGCGTGCGGCACTTTTTATTCCCGCCGTGCGCCCCGATGCGCGCGGCGGTTTTCGGCCCGCCGTGCGCCCCGAGGCGCGCGGCGGTTCTCTGCCCGCTGTGCGCCCCGAGGCGCGCGGCGGGGTTCTGCCCCGTCGTTCGCCGCGTCGCCCTCTGGAGGCGACGCGACGGGCGATGGGGACCCGTCTCGGCGCACCTAGGGCACGTGCACCGGCCCCGTCGCCCGTCCCCGTCGACCTGCGTGCGCCTCCCCGTCGCCCTTCGCGGCGGCCCCGTCGTCCCGCGCGCGGCTCCCCGTCGCCCTTCGCGGCGGCCCCGTCGACCCGCGCGCGGCTCCCCGTCGCCCTTCGCGGCGGCCCCGTTGACCCGCGCGCGGCTCCTCGTCGCCCTTCGCGGCGGCCCTGTCGACCCGCGCGCTGCCCCTGGGGACCCGTGCACCCGTCCCTGTCGACCCGCGCGTCGCCCTGCGGCCCCCCTCCCCGCACACCTGAGTTCGATTACCGCACATCCGAGTTCGCTTCCCGCACGCTTGTGCACGCTTCACGCACACCTGAGCTCGCTTACCGCACACTCAGGGTATGGGGGTGACGGGTATGGGGGTGATGGTTGTGGGGGTGTCGGTTGTGCGTGCCGTCCCCTTCTCCTCCTCGTCCTTTGTCTCCCACTGCTGCAGCTGTCGCTGAGGGGGGTGGATGTGTGGGAGTCTGGGGTTTAGGGTTTCAGGGGGGTGCGTGTGAGTGGAGCTAGCGGTGTAGCAGCGGGTGCGTGCCAGGGGGAGTGGGATAGTGTGGGGAAGCTGTATGGAGGTTGCCGTCGTGTCGCCAGCAGCACCTGTATTCTGGGGAGTTGCTCCGGTAGCCCAGTCGTAGCCAGCTGTGCCAGCCGCCCGTGGGTCCGTTGCTCGTCTGCCGCTACTTTAGCCGCGGGGCCAGTTACTCCAGTATTCCGGGGCGTTGTTCCGGTAGCTGCTGTGCCAGTGTGCCTCCTGTTGCCCGTGTGTCTGCAGCTTCAGCCGTCGCCTCCTATCTCCTCTCCCCTCACTCTCTCTCCTCCTCCTCACTTGCCCGTTGTAACTACCACTAGCTTTGCTCATAATTGTGAACCTTAAACTATTGCTTCTTGAACTTGTGCTCAGAATGTGTGGTGACATTGTGATCCACCCTGAGCTTGTACTGCTTTGCTTGCTCTGCTGATTACACCCCACTTTGGCTATGGGGGTGTGTCAGAATGTTATCTTATGCTCTAGCCTGTAGTGGGGTGCTCTATAGCGAGTACAACCCTTCTAGGGTTTGCTATTTTGTATCCCCATTCTTGCTAGTGCAACCCCCTTCTGTCTTCTAATTTTCACAGGTCCTTCATCCTCACAAGGAAGACAGCAGGTGGCCTAAGTGTGCAGGACAACAAGAGTAAGCGGTTGTGATTGAGGAGGAGAGAAAACAAGCATGGATGAGTCAGGAGGAGGAAGACCGTGTGCAGTAGGAGGCCGAAAAGAATTCTGATAGCGTATAGCGTATTAGCTAGCGTATTGTGTTTTGCGTACACACGCTAGCGTGTATACGCTATACGCTTTAGGGTTTGAGCGTATATTCCCACTAAGGGTCAGTCAGAGGCATCATGCAGGTCAGTCAGAGGCATCGTGCAGGTCAGTCAGAGGCATCGTGCAGGTCAGTCAGAGGCATCGTGCAGGTCAGTCAGAGGCATCGTGCAGGTCAGTCAGAGGCATCGTGCAGCTCAGTCAGAGGCATCGTGCAGCTCAGTCAGAGGCATCGTGAAGGTCAGTCAGAGGCATCGTGCAGGTCAGTCAGAGGCATCGTGCAGGTCAGTCAGAGGCATCGTGCAGGTCAGTCAGAGGCATCGTGCAGGTCAGTCAGAGGCATCGTGCAGGTCAAGGGGGCGCTGCCTTGGGGTGCATGGGCTGGGCTCAGGTGGCTGTCAGGTCAGGTCAGTACACGGCAAGGGCTCACTGCGCTGAGGGGGGAAATAGGTCGGGAACAGGGGGCTGTCATGGGGGCGGGGAAAGTAGGAAGCACAGTGGCAAGAGGGGGCAAAAGGGGATGGAGGGGGCCCGTGGGGCAGTGGCAGCAGGCTTATGGGGGAGTTGAGGGGAACGGAGGGTGTGAGATGGGCGAGGGCATGTTTGTGTGTGCATGCGCGCCTACCCTGCATTCTCCTCCTGCCTGCACGTGCCCTGCCTGCTATACTGTTCCCATGAATCCGCACCTGGTGCTGTTCCCCAGACCCTGGCTCTACTGTTCTGTCCCCTCCCTGCTTCATGCACGATGCCTACTCTTCTCCACTTTGCTGTTTCCCCACTCTTCTCGAACATATGCTACTTGCAAGTGGGGTGTTGAGGTTCTCCCTTCATACCCCCCAGCACTGTTTTCACCCCGCTGTCCTGTTTCCTTCAACCACCATTCTTCCCCCTCCCCCTTTTTCCCTTCCGCCCTCCTCGCCCCCTAATCTCCCCTCCTCTCCGTCCCAGCTGTCTCCAAGCGTGTGGGCGCGGCAGGTGTTCAACGCCACGACATGCACAGTGTTGAGACAACTCAACGGCCACACAGAGAATGCATGCACGGCCAAGCTCACTTGCACATGCACCAACCCACCCACCCACCCACCTACGCACCCACCGACACACACATCACTTCCAAATGCCCAGCCCTCCGTGTGGCCTCTCGTTCCCTCCCATTTCCGACCGCTTTCTCCTTGTTCGCCCTCGTTCCCTGCCTTCCATTTCGGCGACAACCTTGATCCGTTACACCCCAGTGCTCCTGTTTGGACAGCACTCTGAGCTGCTGGGACGTCATCTTCCACGTCCATGCTGCTGTCTCTCTCTTCTGCTACTTTCCAGTGTCCCTGCTCCTTCTCCTTCTCCTTCTCCTGCTCCTGCTCCTTCTCCTGCTCCTGCTCCGCTCCTTCTCCCGCTCCTGCTGCACATGGCATGCTACAGCTCGCCTCCATTCTCCACTCGTAATGCCTCCCACATTGGGACCGCCCCTCGACTCTCCACTTGTAACATGCAGCTGTTTCGTCCTACCATTTACCATACCTTCACCATTCATACACCCTGCCACACCACACACTCGTCCTCCCACAGGCCTCACAGCATCTTCGCTTCTTACTCGCCCTCTCTGTCCCCTCCATCCTTCACCTTTCTCCTATCTTCCCTCCCCTCCCCTCCCCTCCCCTCCCCTCCCCTCCCCTTCCCTCCCCTCCCCTCCCCTCCCCTCCCCCCCTCCCCTCCCCTCCCCTCCCCCCCCTCCCCTCCCCTCTCCTCCCCTCCCCCCCTCCCCTCCCCTCCCCTTCCCCCTTCCCTCCCCTCTCCTCCCCTCGCTGCCAATACTCTCCTGGGCACAACCACTCTCGACCCCCTTCTCTTGTCTGTGCACGCTTCAATCAGCCCATCCTCAATCAACCCTTTCTGTTCCCCATATGTTCCACCCATCATCCCCCTATCCCATCCTGTTCCCCCCCTCTCTACACCAACAATATGGGGATCACCGAGTGGGGCAGCACAAGGGCGTGCATGTGGCACCCACAGCAAGCACCACCGCATCCCACTCCCCTCTCCCAAGTCCTTCCCAATCCCATCCCTGCAGCCACCCCTCTCCCATGTGCATGTATGCCAGGCGGAGGCCTACCTAGCGGTGCAGAGCAAGCACGTGCATGTGGCAGGAGAGTGAGAGCATGGCGAGTAAAGGGAGGCAAGTGTGTGCGGTAACAATAGCAGATTAACATGTCCATGCTCCATGATGCCTCGCATGGCAGCAGGGCAGCAACGCCAGGGCAAGACCTGGTCATGATGCGGCAGCGCCCCACATAGTGGCGGACGACCCAGTGGCTCCCCGTAGCCGTGGCGGTGCATGAGAGCCCCTGGCGGGTGGGTGGTGCACAGCAGCAAGCTGCAGCGCTTCCAGCCGCCATGCAGGATGCATCGCTCGAAAACCCCCGAGGTCAGCTGCTGCACGTGGGGGAGGAAGGAAAAGGGAGGGAGGGATATGGGGCGAAGGGGGAGAGGGGGAAAGGGGAGGGGAGGGATATGGGGCGAAGGGGGAGAGGGGGAAAGGGGAGGGGAGGGCTACGTTGCTAAATAAGAGTACCGAGTATAGTACGTCATCGTATTATACGCTTGGTATATACGCGGTACGCCAAGGCTGGCGTACTGCCGATACGCAAAAATACGCTGGCGGGCAGCTAAAACTTTTTTCCCGGGCAGGTATAAAAAAACCTGTTTCAGGGGGGGGGGTTCAGGCCGACAACAACACATGTCAATATTTTATTTCATAAATATCCAGAAATATATAGTTCATCCACATAATCCCCACCCTCTAGCGAGCTTCCCCACAGCCTATTTCCTTGCGGGGCTTTTCCACCACCACCCCTTCCCCATACTCATCCGCCAGCACTGCATCATCTCCTTCCCCCCCCAGCAGGTCATCCTCCTCCTCCTCGTCCATGTTGTAGCCGCGGGGGATAGGGGCATCCGGGATGTTCCCGGGCACAACCGTGCTGGCCCCATCCTTGTTGTACCAATTGCGCACAACGTTCCAGTTGTGCGCAATGTACCCACTGCGCCCAGCCACGTTCGCATGAAGAAGCCGAGACGGGCTGAGTGAGAATCCGACATGCGAGGGTGGCAAGCTCAGGGTACTCGGTGCTGTGCCACGACCACCACTGCACCATGCTCATCTCCCCTTTCTTCACTGCCTCCCTTGCAGCTATGGCGCTCAGCTTGCCAAAACTGCCCTCCAAGTTGATGTAGGCCAGCAATGCCTCCTGCAGCACAAGGGAGGCGTGGCGAGGGGCACCATCCTTGCCGCGCCTGAAAATTCCCACATCGTTCCTGAAAATTCCCTCCTCCTGGTTGGCAGGATTCAGGATCCGGCCAACCACATGCATGGGGCAGGCAAGGGAGTTGTCCCACCTGTCCTTCACAATCTTGGTGATGTCTGCCCTCTCTGTCCGAGTCAAGAAGTTGCCTGAAGCGTCGAGCTTGTCATTGATGTCCTCGGTAAGCTGTAGCATAATGTCATACAGCTTACCCATCATGCCTTTCGCGGAAGAGTCCGTGGCCCGCATGGCCCTGAATGGCACCGCCATGAGAGAGGAAAAGAACTCCGCCACCCCCCACCACTCCTCATCCATCACAGCAGCCCTGAATTTCTCGGCTGCAGTCTTCCTATCCTTGTCCCCCGCTGCCCACACCTTCCACTCGTCGCTGAGCACCATCGTCGCCAGCCCACTCCTCACCTCACATAGCCGGGCCATGGCTATGTATTGTGTCCCGAACCTGGTTCCCGCAGGCTTGAGCACCTGCTTCCCCCCCTCCTTTCTCCACAAGCCCCTTCGCCCATCCCATTTTGCCCACATCTTCCATTAACAGGTCCAGGACATGCGTGGCACATGGCACATGCTCAATGTGCGGCCATGTGCCCGCAATCTTCCGCGCTGCCGATGCATAGTTGCTGCCGCCATCGGTGCAGACCGCCACCACATTCTCCGGCCCCACCTTATCAATGACGGGGCGGAGAAGGCTGGCGATGTACCCCCCCGTCTTCGACTCCATGTTGCAGTCCACGGCCTGCTCGAAAACTGCGCCGTAGTCGTTGACAAGGAGTATGTTGGCCTGCGGGCGGCAACGGGGGCGAGCGCTGCCTCCATTTTCTGCCGCACTTTCTTCAAGCCCGCCCCTCCAACGTAGCCCCTCTTGCGGGGAACAGACCCCGGTCCCGCGCGCGCAAAGCACTGGACCGAGTAGGGGAAGACCGGATCATCCACGATGCACTCTGGAAGCTTCAGCGCCGAGATCATTAGGCAAAGCGCGTTATCCGCGTCCTCCTTGGCGCACGATGCCTCGTCGCCGAAGAATTCTGTTATCTTCCCCTTCTTCTCCGCACAAGCAGTGACCGCGCCCAGCACGGAGTCCAGTGCTGCAGCAGCCGCCCCTCGTTTCATGCTCTTGTTTTCCTCCTTGTTTTCGTATATGGCACGCACTTCTTCACGAACTTTTGGGGACACGTCCTTGCAAAGCCTGACATGGCGTCCATCTTGCCCTTTCCATTTGGCGAGGTGAACTGCGCAGCGAGTGGTTCCGCCCTCAAACTTGAAGCCACAAAACTTACAAAGCTTGGGATTGCCTTTGGTGTGGGGGGGAATAAGAAAATGTTTCAGAATGGGGTTCGAAAGGCCAGCCTCAACAGGCTGCGTGTTGATCGCACTACTAGACGCGTGACAAGAAGCTACATTGCTCGTCGCGCTAGGAGGGGTGGAGTTCGACGCCATGGGACGCGACAAAGGAACGGTAAACGGCTTGAGGAAAACGGGAGATCAGAGCTCGGGAATGAAATTGAGGAGGAGAGAAACGAATGAAGGATAGGAAGGCATCAACGAGTAAATGCTCACATGACGTGTTGGACATTTGAGAGGGGTGGTTGGATATGAGAGGTTTGGTGGGGTGGTGTGTGGTTGGGGTGGTGGGAGGTTTGGATTCTGAAATTTGAATTTCAGACGTGGGTTGGGCGATGTGCTTGGTCGCGTAACCAGTCGCGAAGCCCTAATAACCGTCGCAATTTTTTTTCAATTTCGTTTTTTTTTTTTTTCGCTGGGTTGCCCGCGCGTTTTTTCACGAATTCGAAGCGTATTAGCATACCACGTACGTACGCAATCGTATATACGTGGTACGCCACCCTACCCAGAGCGTATTTGGCAACGTAGGGGGAGGGATATGGGGCGAAGAGGGAGGGGGGGAAGGGGAGGGAAGGGGAGGGGAGGGGAGGGGGGATTATTGTGGTGGGTGCATGTCTGTTCGGTCATCTGCTGCTCTCAGAGCCGCCATGCAGGCCGTGTTTGCTGGGCGAGAGGGGAGAAGAGCGATATGGGGGGAAAGGCGGAACGAGGGGGGCTGCTGTTGTTCCTTAAAGTCCCTTGCCTCCTTTCTCCCTGCTCCCTGCATGTTGATCCTGATATCTGTGCTCCTCGCCAGTAGCAAGGAGATGCTGTGTCGTCTCCCCGCTACTCCCTCCATAAGAGGTTTGCTTTTCTCTCCCTCTCTCCCCTCCTTCCCACCCACCTGTCCTCCCCTCCCATTCTCCTCACAGATGCTGGTGGCGATGATTGCTCCAACCTCCACCCACACTTCCTCCCTACCTCTCCCTCCTCCCCCTTCTCTCCATGCCCCCTCCCCCCTCCAAGCTGCTGGTAGCGGTCTTGGAGGAGATAATGGCAAGTCTGCGTTTGCCTCCCTTTCGCCCCTCTCATTTCATCCCCCCACCCTTCTGTTCCACCACTCCCTCTCCCCCCTCTCCCCTCCCTTGGCAGATGCTGGTGGCGGTGTTGGAGAAGGTGATAGCTCCAACCCCCACCCACCCGTCCAAGCTGCAGCTTGGCGTATGTACCAAAGGGCGTTGTTTTTTTTATGGGAAGCACTTCTTTCTAGTTGTGTTTGCCTTTCCTCCCACGCCAAGCTGCAGCAAGGGGTGCGTACACTGTATCCAAGGGAGCTCTTCTTTCAACTTGTGTTTGTCTATTGGAGCTTTTTCTGCAGCAGTTTTGCCGCTTGTGCCTGTTTTTGTTTTCTGGCTCCTCCACACTCATGCCAACTTCCCTCCAACTCTGCAGCCATGCTTCCCTCCATTCACCCCCTTCCTCCTCTCCCCCCTTTTTTGGCTTCACACTTTGAATCCCCACCACCAAAACTATCACCCTTCACCAACAACCCCCCATCCCTTCCCCCCCTTCCCTGCCAGTTCCACATTCTAGCGCAGGTGGTGGGGGCGGAGGCGCATGCTTCTGTCTATTCATCCCCTTCCTCCTCTTCCCCTTTTTGCCCACCCCCCAATTCCACATTCTAGCGCAGGTGGTGGGGGCGGAGGCGCATGCTTCCGTCATCCCCTTCCCCCCCCCCCCCCCCCCAGTTCCACATTCTCGCGCATGTGGTGGGGGCGGAGGCGCATGCTTCCGTCTATTCATCCCCTTCCTCCTCTTCCCCTTTTTGCCCCCCCCCCCCCCCCCCCCCCCCAGTTCCACATGCTAGCGCAGGTGGTGGGGGCGGAGGTGGTGTTTGTTGTTCATTCCTCCTGTCCCGTTCTATGCTTCCCCCCTTTCCAGTTCTACATCCTGGCACATGTACTTGGAGCGGAGGCGCATGCGCTGGCCGAGCTCGCAGAGCTGGCAGAGCTGCAGGGCTTTGTGCAGCCGCTGTTGCGCGCCTCCACTGCTGCCAACGCCACCGCCCACACAGACGCAGACGGCCTCGCCGCTGCTGAGCGCTGGAGGGCGGCATCACAGAGAATGACGTTTGTGTGCTCTGGTGTGTGCCTTAGCTTAGGGGAGGGGTCCCAAACAATGCTAAACATTGGACTGGGGTGGGGTGTGGTGTTGGGCTGAGAAAAAAATCGAATGAGTCTTTATCATATCACAGTATAATTCTTCATGTTATCAAAATTGGTGTAAATACGGTGCGCTGAGACATGGTACGGTTGAGCATTGGAATCATCAGGCTAGACTGTCTGTGACAACCATTTCGGGGAAGCTGTCTCTAATCAGGCTTTCTACATCTTCAGTTTCTGTTGCTATCATCTGGACTCTCAGCAGTGATTTTGGCATCCCACAGCCCCAGCTTCTCGAGGCGCTTCATGTTTCTCAGCAGCTTCAAACAGGAATCGGTCACCTCTGGAGGTAAGCTGAAGAGCTTGAGGGAGGAGAGAGCAGTCAAGTTTTTCAGCCCGTCCTCCCCCACTGCAGTGCCATTCACCCAGAGGTTCTCCAGTGAGATCAATTTTGCCACGTGCACCATGCTGGCACAGGTGACCGACTCACAATCATATAAACCCAACGACACAAGTGCAGTCAACCCCCTCAGCTTCGCTATTCCTGCATCGGTTATCTTAGTCAAACCAAGACAAAGTGTATTAAGTTTCTTCAGGCTGCTAATCCCTTCAAGAGAAGCGTCCGTTGCCTTTGTCTCCGCCAGATCCAGATATGTGAGACCTGTGAGGGAGAAGAGCTGTGTCACCCCCTCTGCAGTGAAGCCGGAAGATTCACAAAGGTTGAGCGACGTGAGAGAGTGCAAGGAGGTAAGTGAGTATGCGGTGTTCATGCCGCCCCGTGCCGTGGTGCTGGAGTTGCGGCCGCAGGGGGCGCAGGGGAGCGAGTATGCGGTGTTCCATCGGCTGGCAGATGCGTGTGGGTTGGATTACCGTACCACCTGCTGCTGTGTCAGGGGGAGGTTCCTTGGAGAATGGGGCTGGGGAATATGAGCAGAATTGTGGAGGTGTTGAGAGGGATAGCAGAAAATTTTGGGAGAACGAGACGTTGTAATGTACGGTAGTAGTGCACAATAGAATGCTTCATTTCCACTTTTATATATATCATAGTAAGCATCGATGATTGATGGGGATGGTGAGAAAAATACAGAGCAGATTTAGACAAAGCTACTTATTCTAGAACAACTATACTATTTTTGTGATGGGCCCTTAGCCATGACAATAATTGATTTCCTCCGTAGGTAATGTGTGTGTCGCGTACAATGCCCAAACGTCCGCTGCTTGTCACGCCTTCAAAATCTGACAGTTCATCGAAATTCGATGATGCTTGCGTTTCGGCTGGTTCAAATCCCAATCGCAGTCAAGCCATCGTCTACTTGCTCACTGCTCTTTTCGCTGCCTTTTCATGTCCCACCCACACCGCAACCACAATTTCACTCCTGATTGCATGTAAGCCGCACACAAAGTTTCATGTTATGAACTATTCCATCCAAACAGCATTCCAGACGCCTCAAGTGTCGCGATAACGAAATGGCGATGACACCGGAGGACATGGAGGTGAGGCTGAAGGAGATGGTGCTGAAGGTGCAGCTAGGGGAGATGGCGGGCGGCGAGGGCGAGCGCGTGGCGGCGTTGGAGGCGAAGCTGAGGGAGCAGGGCGACGCCATTGTCGCGTGACATGGCCGACATGTGCCGCGCCACGGCGGCGACGGGCGCTTTGAGGGAGAATGATACCGTAGTGAGGGGGAAGCGGCAGGAAAATGGATTCGCGTCACTGGTGCCTCGCGGGGCCTTCGCGAATTCTTTCACCGGGATTTGACTGAGATTTCACTGACCAATCAGAAATATGCACTGCTGGACTTGAACCTTGCCCTTCAAAATAGAATTTGGGTTGGAAAAGCAATCCGCGGCACGATGACCGAAGCGCCCGCAATAGCCACATTTGCCACCAAATCCACGTTTATCCACTCCCACGTTATCTCCATGGTCATTTTCTCCCGTTTTCCCTTCGTAGTTCTTGCTCCTCGGGTTCTCATAGCAGTTAATCGCCTTATGCCCCTCTTTCCGCAGTGGAAGCACGCTCCAAACGCCTTTGTTGCAATTGCATTCACCATACCAGGTTTCTCGTCTTCAATCTCCTTAGCCGCCTTCTTCCTCCTTATCTCCTTTACCGCCTCAAGAGATTGTAGAATCTCCTGCAGCTTCATCAGGTTCTTTGGTGGTTGATACGTGAACATCCCAACGTCGGATTCGTACTCCCTAAGAAGTCCTTCAATGATGTAGTCGTTCATCGCTTGCTCCGACTCCGCGGCTCCCATCACCCGCAGGTCGTCGCTGTAGCTTTTCTCCCTGTTGATGTAGGTAATAATTTTCTCACCCTTCTCCATGCTCAGCATCAGCAGTTGCTTTCTCACGGTCTTCCTGCTAGTATCATTGGTGCCCATGTAGGTGGACTCCAAGTACTCCTAAGCTTGTTGTGCCGGATTCAGCTCCCCGGCAAATTGGTCCAAATCCACCGCAATAGTATCAGCAACCGAATCGCAAAGTTGAAAGAACGCGTTCTTACTTTGCTTCTTAAGCAATGCCACATTTTTCGGCGGATCCGTCTTGGAAGGTGGAACTCCCTCCTTTGTCTCTTCATCGGGACGGTAGAATGGTAGGAGCTCAACCTCCTCTGCCCTCCGGATAAACTTCTTCCGCCACACGTTGTAGTTGCTTCCCTTGAAGCGTTGGGCTTCAATGAGCCCGATCGTCGGCTTCGTCACCACACGGACACTCGCAAGTGCCTCAAGAAGCGCCTTCATCTCCTGGTTTTCAAAACTCACGCTGAAACCTGAACTCGCCTCGTCCGTCATGGCGTAGGCATGAAGAACTCTTTTTCTTCACCGATTCACTTAACAACGAGTAGTGCACACCCGTTCTTCTTGACGAGTAGTGCACGCCCGTTCTCCAAGCTCTGGTACCAACAGTCAGGATCGTAGGCGCCTCATTCGACAAGAGTCTGCTTGCTATTGTCGATGACATTGTCCTCGTTCTCACGATTCCAACGATATGCGCAACGGCTAATTCTGTCAACGTTTCACTAATGTTTGACTGTTTTCTGTCCCACCAACGCTTGACCGACGCTTCACTGGCGCTCTGTGGAGAAATTCGGTTCGCGATTCGTTCACTAGAGTCTGGCCTTCACACTGAAATTCGCGTCACTGGTGCCTTGCGGGGCCTTCGCAAATGCTTTCGCGGGGATTTGACTGAGATTTCACTGAACAATCAGAATTGTGCACTGCTGTACTTCAACCTTGCCCTTCAAAATAGAATTTTGACAAGGTTGTATTTCCAAACAACTACATCAAACTTATACTACCTCCACTGCACACAAGTACCCCTAACCAAAAACGTGTCACACAAGCAAACTCCTAGTAACCAAACTTGTCCCACACGCCAGGTGTCACGTCGAGTCGCACACGCAACCCCAACACTTTCGTCGAACACTCCCCAAGTCCGAAAACGGAAACTTGTAAACCACGCTATCATTTCAACCCCAATTTCTTCCCCGTCAATCCATTCTTCTCCTCTAGCCATTTCTTCACCATTTTTCCTCACGTTTCTTCCCATCTTCAACTCCCGTAGCCCATAACTTAGCACACACTCCAATTCACTTTAGGAACTTCTTAGCTTCTTCGTTTATCTCTTTCCACATGCCACCGTGTAGTTTTCGCCGTAGGTCCGAATGTAGCTGTCGCGTAGTGTGGTTCCACGAAGCACCTCTAACAGGGTGAAGAAGCGAAAGGCATTGGCGCGCAGCCACTGAAAGGTGCGCGGGATAACGTGTTCGCTGCGATTGAAGTGGAGGAGATGAAGGCGCAGGTGGACGCGGCGAGGGGGGAGGCGAGTGAGGTGCGTGGAGAGGTGGGCACGCTGAAGGCGGAGCTTGCGCAGATGAGAGCTTCGGTGGAGCGGCAGGCGGCGGAGGTGGCGTACGTGAAGGCGACGGCTGCGCACTCGGAGGCGCGCATCAACCACGTTGAGCTGGCGCTCGCCGCCATCAAGAAGAGCCGCGCTGAGCGCGAGGCGGGCAGCCGGGGGGAGCATGCAGGGGAAGAGACGCGCGCGGGGAAGAGACGGAAAGGGAGGAAGGGGGAGACAAAGGGGGCATGGCAGATGCCCTGATCGCTAGTGGTGATTCGCTCGAACAACAGCGGGATGAGGCGGAACGGGGTACGCGAAGCGTACTCGAGGAAAAATGGGTGAGGCGTGTGACACGGAGGTTCAGATGCAAGGGCTGAGGGCGCTAGTTGAAGCACTGGAGAATACGAGTGCTGGAGGTGTCAACATATATTTTATATGTGTTGTTTAGGTTAGTCTAGGTGTTATATTTCTACTTCCTTGCATGATTAGGGTTTGCTATATCTAGGGTTGTACTTCACATTTTCTATCAATGTATTACATTATAACATGGTATAGAGCTTGGTTCACCCTAGTGAGATGTCGCAAGTTTATGGAGAACGGATGGGAGTGTACATAATGTACATTTGTACAAGCAATCGAGTAAACCGGTATTGAGGATAGGGACCGAGGCTCGGATGATGGATGGGCGATGTTGGGCTGCCGAGTCAGCAGACAGTCACATGGGGGGAGCGGGGAAGGGAGACAACTGGATGGAGCTTTTGCTTTGTGTGAAGAATGCATGTTTGTTTCCTTGCAGGTTGGATGCCCGAGCCAGCTGGAGTTACAGGCGCGAGCTGGAGGTCAAGCAGTGGGGTGGCTAAGTGGCGGTGGCAAGAGGATGAGAAGGCTGTCCTTTTGCTTTGGTGGGAGGCCATCCCCTTCGAAGGGCGTTAACGGTGAAGCAATAGGGGGAGGAAGTAGGCTAGGATATAGGGGGTACGGGCATTTGACTCTGCATTGTTTGTATGTCCTGTAATACTCATGTGATTGCTTTAGAATCATGTGGGGGTGAGCGGCAGGCCATAACAAACCCTGGAGATATGGAGAAGTGACGTAGGTGGTGCTCATTAGTGGATGTGAGTAAGCTGCACGAGCTCCTCAAGGGAATACTAAGCATCAGAAGGAGCAAAGTCAGTAGTGAGATTACATCAAGCAAGCAAGCAGGAGGGAACGACTTCAGAGGCAGGAATCAGCATAGCGAGAGAGCAAGGGGGGGTGGTACATAAGAAACGAGAGATCTGAAAGAGAGTGGGGAAGAGAGGAGGGAGAGATAGGGGAAGGGCATCAGGACAAGGAGAGGTAAGGGAATTTCCGACAGAGATTTTTCCCCTAAGGAAATTCTCTCGACTAAGTTATGGGCCCACCTAGACGCGCCCCGTACTAGAAAGTCGCCCGTATCGCGCTTAGCCTGCCCGTCGCCCGGTTCCCCCCACCCCCCCGCCGTCGCCCGTCGCCCGTTTCCCCCAGTCGTGCGCTGCCCGTTTTCTCCCTGTCATCCGTCGCCCGTCGATTTACGGGCGCGCCTCGCGGCTGATTGTTAGAAGGCCCCGCGGCCATTTCGATAGCGGGCCCCGCGGCCCCGTTGTTAGTCGCACGCACGCACAGCAGCAGCCGCGCGCACGTGCAAATCGTCGCCCCACCCGTTATCCGCCGCCTTAAATGCTGCCCCACCCTTTTACCACTGCCTTACCCGCCGCCCCATCTGTTAGCCGCTGCCCCACCCGTCACCCGTCGCCCCACGAGCTGAAACCGCCACCACACCTACAATCCGCCGCCCCACGAGTTGAAACCGCCACCACACCTGAAATCCGCCGCCCCACGAGTTAAAACCCGCCGCCCCACCTGACACCTGCTGCCCCACGAGCTGCCTCACCCGCCGCCCCACCAGTTAGCCTCAGCCCCACCAACTAGCAACACCTGGAAACCAGAGTCTACCACCCGTACCCGCAGAACCGCACAGAATTGCACAGAACCGCACAAAACCGCACAGAATCGCACTCCACCCGTGCTAGCTCCCCTGGAACTGCACAGAACCGCGCTTCACCCGTGCTAGCTCCCCTAGAACCGCACACAACCGCACAGAACTGCACAGAACCGCACTCCACACGTACTAGAGTAGGCTGCCCCCAGAGCACCAGCAGCAGCTTAGGCTGCCCCCAGCAAAACTAGCAGCAGCGTAGGCTGCCCCCAGCAGAATGAGCAGCAGCTTAGGCTGCCCCCCCAGCAGCACCAGCAGCAGCATAGGCTGCCCCCAGCCGAACCAGCAGCAGCTTCAGCTGTCCCCAGCAGAACCACCAGCAGCGTAGGCTGCCCCCAGCAGAACCAACAGCAGCAAAGGCTGCCTCCAGCGCACCAGCAGCAGCTTAGGCTACCACCAGCACGACCACCCCCGTATCTAGCTCCTCAGGTGGCCTGTACTAGAGTTCTACAGCAGTAGGGCGAGCCGCAGCACTCCCGGCAGTGGGGACCTGCGGGTCCAAAGTGTGGCGCCCCCAGCAGCGTCTAAGCAGGCAGTGAGCGAGATGTCGGCCCCTGCGAGTACCGGGCCCTGGTGCTAGCACTACCTGCTGAAGTCCTGACCACTCTGCGTCCAGCTGCTACCGTCGACTCGACGACCTCCACCGTGAGCGTTTTGGTCCTCACGCCATTACACCACACTGGCCCTCACGTCTTCGCCAGCGCACTGCTACACCAGTTGAGTCTCACCTGCCTGGTCTAGGACCGTTCCCGTCTGCACGAGTAGAGACCTGTGTTTACAGTCTTGGTGCGTGTGTTGTTTCCAGTCCAGGCACCTCTGAGGGTCTTTGTGTAGGATCTGCAGCTACCGCTAGTCTAGCACAAGCCTTTGTAGCTAGTTCGGGTGCGACCCCACAGACTGCACGACTTTCCTTCACCCTAGACTCTGGAGCGTCCAGCTGTTTCTTTCACGACTATACTGACCTCACACCTCTGCGCACTCCAGTCACTGTCGCCTTGGCTGACCCCTCTGTGGGACGTGTAGTTGCTCGCAGCACCACCACTCTCCCGTGTCCGGCGGCTCCCTCTGGTTTTCTTACAGGTTACTACACCCCCTCGTTCTCTAGGAACCTGGTAGGTGTCAGTCACCTCCACGACCTAGGAGTAGTCACCACTTTCGCACTGGACGAGCCTGTTGCCTCCTGCACAGTCGGTACCACTGGGGCCTTTCTGGCCACTTCTCACAGGGAGCCGGGCTCTGGTCTGTACTCAATACACACTGGGTCCCACCGCACTGGGTCGGGCCAGGTCAGGTCAGGTCAGGTAGCTGCTGTGTCGTGCGATTGTCGCTCCCTCACCCACCCGTCTGTCCTCTGGCACCACCGTCTAGGTCACCCGTCGTTCCTACGACTCAGTAGGATGGCACATTACCGTCTGGTCTCAGGTCTCCAAGAGTCGCTTGCCCCGCTTCCTCGCTCGCCTGCGCCGCTGTGCACTCCTTGCGTCGAGGGTCGGCAGCGCGCTGCCCCTCACTCCTCCTCGTTCCCCCCCACCACAGCTCCCTTCCAGACCCTGCACTTTGACGTCTGGGGCCCCTCCCTGGTCCTTGGACCACGTCAGGAGCGCTACTTCCTGATTGTGGTGGATGACTACTCCCGCTACACAACGGTTTTCCCCTTGCGGCGGAAGGCCGACGTGCCTACCGTCCTAGAGCCGTGGCTACTAGCGTGGGGTGGTGCCAATGGCCTGTGTGGGCTTTGCCTACACTCGGACCGTGGTGGTAAGTTTTCTTCCACTCGTTTGGAGACGTTCTGTCAGGGTCGGGGAGTCATTCATTCGTACACGTTACCAGCCTCACTGCAGCAGAATGGGGTAGCCAAGCGTTGCATCGGCCTGGTCATGGAGGTTGCCCGGACCTCCATGTGCCATGCCGGTGCCCCTCAGTTCTTGTGGCCTCATGCGGTCCGCTACGCCGCGCACCAGCTGAACATGTGGCCCATTGACGCACGGCCACGGGTGACGCCGGTCTCTCTCTGGTCAGGTTTACAGGGCGTAGCGGCTGAATTCTGCGTCTGGGGTTGTCTGGCTCACGTTCGCGCCCTTGGCGTAAACAAGTTTTCTCCGCGCACTCGTGCCTGCGTCTTTCTTGGCTTCCCGTCGGACGCCTCCGGCTGGGTGTTCTACGACCTGGTCACCTGCGGGTTCTTCGCTTCTCAGGACGTCACGTTCGACGAGTCTGTCTGTTACTACAGGAGTCGCCCCCACCGAGGTACTGAGGTCTTTTCCCCCCTGCTGTTCCTCACCCTTGAGCCCCCCCCAGTTGCCCCGGTAGCCCCCCCCCCCTTTGCGTTCTGCCCCGTCAGATGTGTCGCACGTCACTCTGCAGTCGTTCCCCCCGCAGCGTCCAGTCCCTGTCGTATCAGGGGGTGCGGGAGGTGCAGTTGCGGAGGGTGAGGGTGCTGGGGCTGCAGGAGCTCGTGGTGTCGGTTCAGGGGGTGCAGTGGGTGTGGGCGTGGAGGTCTTTCCTGTGGAGGACACGGCAGCCTCGAGTCGGCGGCCTCGCCACCAGCACCGGCACCACCAGCAGCGCCAGCAGGAGCAGCAGCAGCAGCAGCTACAGCAGGAGGAGAGAGTAGAGGAGGAGTCACAGCAGCAGCACGACAGGGTAGAGCGGGAGTCCCGGTTGCAGCAGTGGGTGCAGCTCCAGCCGCAGCAGGAGAGGGCAGAGGAGGAGTCACGGCCGCACCAGGAGAGGGTAGAGCAGGAGTCCAGCCCGTAGCAGCAGATGCAGTTACAGACCTAGCAGGAGAGAGTACCGTTTGAGTCACGGCCGCACCAGGAGAGGGTAGAGCAGGAGTCCTGCCCGCAGCAGCACGTGCAATTACAGACCCAGCAAGAGAGAGTACAGGAGGAGTCACGACCGCAACAGGAGAGGGTAGCGCAGGATTCCTGCTCGCAGCAGCGGGTGCAGCTGCAGTCGCAGCAGGAGAGGGCAGAGGCGAAGCCACAGGAGCAGCAGCAGGGGCCGGTTCCGTCGCAGCAGACGCCAGAGGAGGCGGAGCAGCACCGAATGCGACTACATGACCTCCCCGACCCAGCACCTGCACGCTTTGTTCGTGGTCCCCTACCGTCCCCTCCTGTTCCCCCTGTTGAGTCCCTTTCCTCCTCCCAGTGGACTCGTCGTTCTCCCCTCGGTCGTGCTGTGTCCCCAGAGCGTTGTCGGTCCTGTTACCGTGCAGACGGTCCGTTCCACCTTGTTCTTTGCT